GAGGGACAATCATAATTTGGAGACTAGCACAATCTAAATATGTCACCGTCTCTTTAAGAGATGATTCAGTCATCATTTTGGACCGGACATAACTTGCCTGGACACATCAATAATGTCTCTCATCAACAAAGTGGACAAAGCTATTTGACAGACGTCGCATGACCGAATCCCCACATCACCAATCGGTTTAAAACCACTATCCGATTTCAAGGCCTAAATGTAAATATACAGCGCTGAAAAGTTTACCTTTGGGTTTGCCCCGGGTCACCGGGGGCTCGTTTTACAGGCCTGAATAACAACATGCCTTTTGACTGCAGAGCGGCAACTCAGGAAAAACAATTATGTCCATTATCAACACATCGCCGACCAATAGAAGGCGAGAGCCGCGACCGCAGGCAGCTGCCGGGTCGCCTTACGAATCTGAGCCAACATGACTGTCATTGTTATGCCACTGGGCATTATATACCATGATATGTCTGTGGTTGCTTGGCAACGCAAGACAGCTGCATTGGCAGGAAGCTCAACATTTCTGTCTCAAAAGTGAGCCGATTACAGAGGGGTTTGAGAGGTCTCTCCGAAATCAAGGCCGTCCTCTAAGCGAGGTGGAAAAGGGATTAAAATCATACGACTGTTTCGGTTGAACTGCTCACGCCGTTACATAACTCTTTGCGGGCCTGTGCAAACAATGATCTAGGAAAATCATAAAAGGCCTTTGTTTATATCACATGATGAATATTATGTCCTTAGCTGACGACATGCCCTTTCGCTTTAATCTAATTCTGTTCAGCCGTCTGGGACGCAGATTACCACTTTCACCTTTCAGCTGCCGAAAGCTCACACGCGAAACATGGAAGACACCGATGAGGGTGCAAACAATGCGCCCGCACGAAAAAAGCAGCGTGACTGTGTTGAGTAAGTCGGGTTATTAATTGCCGGATTGTGTGCGGGTGACGAGGCGCTGTGTGAGTGTGAGGGTGTCTCGGCTTTGAGTGGTAACCATGTTTAGAGACCAGCTGCCCACCTAAACAAGCCTCTCGTGGCACGTCTGGTGGTCCGGAGCACGAGGGGTCATCGCAACGCCCCTTCGAAGACATTACTAGCCATTAATGAACATTTATCAAACCAGAAATCCAAAAAGTGGTATGTTTGCACCATGAATGTGAGTAAAGGTGGCAGCTGTATACCACTAGTGTTGGGCAACGTGTTGGGGGTAATGCATTACAAGTAATGCGAGTTACGTAATCAGATTACTTTTTTCAAGTAACCAGTAAACGAAATATCTGAGTTACTTTTTCAAATAAGTACATTGTTTTTCCCACGTATTGACTGATAGCTCTAATCTCCCAATGTTGAGAGAAATGGGGAGCAATCGCACTTTATTAGCAATTAAAAAGGCAGGGGCTCAAGACCTGCGTATACAGCACTGAAAGGTCCTTTACCTTTGCAAAATAGAGCAAACCCAGTCCAGGTGAGGAAAAAAGTAACACAAATATAATGTAACGCATTGGTTTCCATAAAAACTAAGTAAACCAATTAGATTTTTAGGGAGTAACACAATATTTGTAGCACATTACTTTTAAAAGTAACTTCCCCAACATTGATTACTACTATAAATAGCCTGTGTTTTGTTGGTTTTACCGGCAGTAAACTGCAAGCTCCAAGGTGGAACCGCTACAAATTGGAATCCACTGTTTGTATTTTGTTTTGTTTTATTTAGTTTCGCTATGTTTTGTTTGGTTGTTTTTACCAGCAGTCATTTTGAAACAAATCTTGGGCTTGTTGCAAACTGTATGTCACTAGCCGTGTTTCCATTACCCTTCAAATGCGCAAATTAAAATTGCGAATTGAAAATACGCCCAATGGAAACACGTCAATTTCACAAAAACTCTCATATATCGCAAAAGAGTTTTTACGCTCGCATGAGGAGGTTTTTCAGGCAGTTCGAAAAAGGAATATTTCGCAAAACTGCAATGGAAACAGTTTTTGCGCAATTTAAAGGTCACCTGAAGAGGGCGAGGTGTGTTTGGACAGAAGACGAAAAGAGACAAAAGACAAAAGAATTACGGGAATACTGGATTCTAAACCACTAAGAAATGGCACAATTAAGACCTTGAAGCAGATATGAGAGAGGAACACCCAGAGATACCTTATACGTGCCGCTGCCAAGTATAAGGGCCTTTCCTTGCCATTAAAGCTTGAATAACACGCGATCCTTCGATTATAAATAAAACTAGTGCGGTGGCTGGGATATAAGTAAACCTACCAACCTGATGTCATCATTGTTGGAATGACTTATCATGAGAGGACAAAAAGTCACATAACATCGGTTATAGGAAACGTGGTAATTTCGCAATCGTTTTTTATTGACATTTAGAAAATATCGCAAAAGTTTTGCGCAAATCTGTAATGGAAACGTGGCTTCTGATAATGATGACACTTTCTAGACCTACAATGACTATCATGCTCACATATACTACAACACGTATAGTGTATGTACACTAATAGTACAATGCTTGTGAATTTTAAATATACTCCAAATGCTCTACTAAATCTGGCATAATGTTTATGATTAAAAAACGTATTAAATTTGTTGGCACCTCTACCATTTTATTGGTATAGTATAAGAGGTGACGGGACAAAAAGAGGCAATTTGATCAGGAAATGAGAAAGTTGGATTTAAAAAAATTTGGGCAATTCTTTTTTTAAAGAATAATAAAAAAACAATAAAAGAACAAATACAGATGACTCATTCGGGGGTCTCATTTGACATCCATTTCAATCCTGAGCAACAGATGCATAATATATAGCTCAAGAATCATTTAATTCATTGTTCAAAGTGGATGGATTCAACATTGATGTTCTGTGTCAATTGCAAATGTTTTATTTCATTTTTTTTTATTCAACTCATGGACCTGGGACAGCCATTTTACAGAAGACAGTTTGGGAACTCCTTCATCCTAAAGTGATTGACGAAGTGTTGTAGTGATGGTTAGTGATAGGACCTCCTATCTTAACACATGTAATCTGAAGGTCTTCCCGAGGAGCCATGGGGCTCTCCGTCACCTTCTTGACCTTACAGATTCTTAGAATACCACATTTAGCCACATGGTCAATTCTAGGAAGAGCCGTGGTGGTTTCAAACTTCCTTCACATGTCAATAATGAGACATGCATCTGGGAAGCTTGAATTTTACAGCTTTTTCCAGCTCAAGGCATTGGCGCAGTGCTGTACTGGAGGTCGACGGCGGTTCTGGTTTCTGCCGTGTGGTTGAATCGTCTGGCCGGACGTTAAGTAAGGGATAATGTACATCAAACCGGTTGTTATCTCAGAATAAACACCGACAGGGTGATCAGGACCCCGACCCGAAGCAGAGGCTACGATACTGGAAGGCATAATTAAATATTTTATTAGTTTAAATATTGTATTAGCTCACCAAAAGCAAAACTTTGACGAAGAAAAACCACCTCCTAGCAAGCGTATAGCGCTGCTGACTTCAGTAACCCGGATGAGCCTGCGTTATCTGTTTTCAGTGGATGTTATCGTGGAATAACATACCGCTGGATGGCGCGATTGACCAATCAGAATCAAGTATTCCACAGAGCCGTGTAATAATTGAACATATCAGCAACCGATGAGATTTACTAGGGGTGTAACAATATGTCGTGTCACAATACTGTATATGACAATATGTATTGTGCATAGTTAACCCAAAATAAAAATTACTGTGTGAGAAAAAAATTCAAGTTTTCAGAGTTTTATTGTCAGTACTACATTAAACTGCTATAGGCTATATGTTGAATATAATGTATAATAATGCAATGGGGGAATATTTGTGGGTCCTGATAATGCCAAATGTCTAATGTTACCAGTAAAAAGTGTCAAACATTATTTTAAGTATATCTCGTCAGTAACAGAGTGCAAGCATATTCGTCTAAAATAATTCTGTTTTCAGCTTCAGAATCATGAATATTGTTATTCTGGTGTCACTATTGTCCTTTGCTTTGGGTTTCCAGCACCAAGTCCAAGCCTGTTCATTTACACCCACAATGTAATACCAAATTTACCATTTTAATCAACAGAACATTTTTGTTAACATTTTACCATATGTCTTGGAGTATCGCAATAATGTTGTATGCCGAGTTCAGTATCTTGATATGTATCGAATTGTGACATGTGGGTATCATTACACCCCTATGATTTACGTTTCCCAATTCTTAAAACACAAAACATGCTTAATTTCGAGAAACTCTTACAGATTCAATGAGTTCAGTGAAGGATTCATTAAAACTTATTCAAACCCGTAACTTATGAGCAATTGTTCATAAAAGTCATTTCATCACGAACCAGAGTACACCATAACTTACACAATTAAAAAATAATAATACATTTAGCTACGGAACTGCAGATTTAAAAACATGCTCAATAATTTTGCCAAATAAGGATCTCAAGAATTATTAAATATACTGAATGAATATGAAAATGTGTTTATTAATATTATAAATATGAATATTATTATTCGTATTTTAAAAAAAAATCTGAAAATTGACGTTGTCGTGACAGTACTTTTTTGGTGTGAAATAAATCTACAACACTAAAATGTAAAAAATGTGGAATAATGTTTGAATTCACTGCATCTGTCTGTACACGTCCTCCACCCTGCCTCCAATCAAAATAACAGCCAGACATAAACACAATGGTTATTTAAATCTGCCTCTGAGATTGTTTGCTTAATTAACTCTCTATATAAACATCAGACATCTGCTGACAAATACCAATGGGTTCAGACTCAAATACGATGTCCTTTGTTTTGCAATCTTTCACCAAGCAGAAGTAACCATCCGTATTGTGTTACGCTCTATGTACAGTAGGTCCGAGGCTGTTTTGAAATGTGTACGTAGTCCCGAGTAAATACATGTTTGGTCTGGTCAACAATGTGTGAAAGTACAGGGTGGCCAAATTTGGTTGAGGAGGTTAATGACGCAGAGCTCCTCTTTGCTTACCTGAGGATCCCAGGAAGTAGCGCTCTAAAACTGATCCGAAGCCAGAAGGGTTGTCCCTAAGGTCGCTGACTGTGAAGGGCTGCATGGAAATGTTGGCATCGTTTATGGGCCAGTTGAGCGCATGGACACTGGCTCCTCCGTACCACGAAATATTCACCATGGAAAAACAGTCCTGAGAGAGAGAGAGAGAGAGAGAGGATAACTATCCTTAAAATGTATCATGGTCCATCTTTATACCAAAGCTTGATCATTTATTGCATGTGAAAGTACCAATACATTTACTGATCGAGTTCCTTCATATAGATTGAATAAGGTCTTCATCAGTGAGCAAAATCTGGACATGCATATCTAGCTGAGAAGCTTTAGGCTCTCATAACACATAAAAACAGGTGCAGAACATCTAAAAGTCAAAGGATTGGACTGAACAATGTGTTCTTAGGCTTAAATCTGAAATAACACATGACAGAGCATTACTGAGGTATGAAATGTACAAAATGAAGGGATTAAACTAGAAAACTTCCGAACTGCTTTAGGTCCTTGCTGAACAAAGAAAGTCCTTTTCTTGTCGGATATCTGTGAAATGTATGGAACATTGTACGTTATCTTTGTGGCCGTTTCAGTCTGGTGAACTTTAAACCCTGCTTTAAATATGCATACAGGTAGGCAAAGCAAATATGCTTCTATTAATCAATTTTTTTTTTTTATCATTTAATGTAAATATGTTTTTTATTATTTATGAAGTGGTGTCAAATCGATTAATCGCGATTAATTACATCTAACATAAAAGTTTGTGTTTATATAATGTGTATGTATGTGTTTATATGTGTATGTATATATGAATGTACACACACATAATATTATATGATTTGACAGCATTAATAACAATATAACTATATATATAAAAAAAGAGAGCCAATTGTACACAAAAATCACACAAAAGCCCATAATTAAATAATATATTTTAAAAAAGTTAAATAAAGATAAATGCTGCAAGTAAACATATTCAGACGTTAGCTATATTCTTATTCAACACTGTGAAACAAGAAACCACTTAATAATTATTTGTATATTAAGGGGGTCTGACCCACTTTATAATTAATACTTGAAAGGAAGTCAAAACAAAAAGATGGAGGTCTTAAAAGTAGACATTTTACATAGGCCTAATTATGTGGAGGATAAAGCAATTTGGAGAATGATGGATTAGCCCTATGTTGGTATTGAATTTGTAACATTTTAGTATCCACAAAAATTAGATTACAAGTTAGTCATGGCGCGTATTTTCATCGGGCGATGATTCCGGAGGTAACCATAGCAACTATAGCGAACATTATAGCGATAATCTAATACTTTTTCATTATTGTGAAATTTTCATTATTAGTTTTTTAATTTGCATATTACAAATATTTCACAAAAATGTAGTGTTTTGTTTAACAGACTTTAAAATGACGTTTAGCTATAACTCTGTTTGGTTTCCGTGCGAGAAATGTCCTATCGAACTTTTTTAAAAGCCCCAAAAAAAACCCCCTGAAAATCACTTATACAAGCACAACTCTCACAGTTTTACAATTTTACCTGTTTTTTTGGTTTGGTAGTTCTTATATATTTTTGAGTAAAAGTTCTTGATGTTAAGCTTCTTCAAATCATGTTATAGGTGTGGGGGTAACAAATACGATTTGTTTTTGAAAAATAATGCAAGTTATTTTTGTGGGACTTTAAAAGGATTTTCAAAGACATCAGGCTATAAAAAAAAAAAAAAAAAAAAAAACTTTTGGTTCTGTAAAATAACCTATACTTTCAAGAGTAAATTTCTAATGATATTTTACCTTCAGATCCACATGGCAGTGAATTGGAGTCCAGGTTACACTGTAGCACTCAGTATCCGAGTCCTCCTCTGATTCCAAAGATATCTTCACCTCTGCGACCGAATCCCAAGTGTAGCAGAACTCGGTTTTGTTAAGCCAGCACATATTCCTCACGAACGGAACCTCGATGTCAGTGTTCCCCACGTTCTCCACGTCTATCTCCGCAAAAGTCTTGTCCTCAGTCAGTGTCTGTATGACCAGAGTTTGCGTCCTTCTCTCCCAAATGAGCCCACTAAAGCTCCCCTTAAGGATCCAGTTCTTGTTGGGCTGATCCACAACTTGCCAATAAATGATCCCAATTGTCATGACAAAAAAGATAGCAACTCCCAAGCATGCAATAGCCCCTTTCCAGGTCTCGTTCATCTCTTTCAACCCCGTGTCCCATGTCACCTCTGGGATTGGACTTGGGTTCCTGTTGCGAGTGTGTGGCATGGTGATTTCAGAAAGAAAGAAAAAAATCTAATCGAAAGTGATGATAAAAAGTAACAATCTCGCTGCTAAAACATGCAGAATCGTCATCATGTCCCGGTCCTTCACGGTAACGCGTTCGATTGTCTGTGAATGTGATTTTTTGAATTGGATCTAATTGCGTTGTTGCGCGCACCGGCCGCCGGTCATCAACGGATCCAGGTCAAGTTCTCCAAACAGAATCATTCCAGAATAAATCAGAAATGTAATGCATGCTGCTTCTAGTGCAATAGCAAGTTTAAAGCATTGATCGCAGAAGAGTGAGTAGCCTTACCCGGGTTTGGCAGCAATGCCTACAAATAGCTCCTCAGCGGCTTATTTGCTTGGCCGGCACTTTTGCGCGCTGGTGTGACGTAACTCCATACTGCTTCTTCAGAAAGGTAAAAGAGAAAGTGATTAGGCGAGCTTTGCGATTAGCGGGGCCCCTGATCAGGGGCCGGACAGAGCGCAGTGTGTGATGAATCACCCATTCTCAGTCTGAGTCCACGCTCTTGGCATTTTGGAGACGCGCGTGCAGAGTGATTTACTCGCATATGCATAAGCGCAAGAAACACGCATCAACCTTGCGCACAATGTTTCAGCAGGTGCACCAAGTAGGCGATTACTCCCACACTTTTGGTCTAATTTTCACCAGAGGAAAGCTGAAAATATGCATTATTGTTTAAAGGTTTAATTGTATTCTCCTCACTTCAGTACCGCTCCATCTGCATCATTACGCACCATGCATTGCATCGTATGTGTATTGTACATTTGTGTTGCTATGAATTGTATATCATGTATATTATATTGTTTGTGTTTATTGTATTTTGTGCATTCTAAGGATGTGGCAATGACAAATAAAGATCTCTCAAATTATAAAAAGACGTATTTTAGTTTAAAACCCGTGCCAAGTAATTTATTCTCATACGTTTAATAACACTGATACCATTCTTGACAACAAACATTTTTTTTAATGATATCCCAGAGGTGCACAGAGGTGTAACCATTCATAATTATTGCAATTTTTTCATTACTTCTTGAATGTATGCACAACAATAATATATATATATATATATATATATATATATATATATATATATATATATATATATATATATATTAAAAAAAGAATCATATTTCAAATGAAGTATTTTCTGTTTATGTCTTGCCGCATATCAATTTCACCACAATGAATTTAGTGGACAAAATATAGACAAACAAAACTACGTTTCTGATTATTAATAAAACATAATTCTCACAATAAATTAAACTTACTGGCATAGTTTCTGTATGCCAAAAATTATTACAATCTCTATTAATTTATAATTTTTAAAACAATTTTTTAATAGTTTAATAAATTCAGTCAAAAATAGTGTAAGGGTATACACAGACACAGGGATGTGAATACAGGAACAATGGTGAGTTTGTTGAGCCAATTTTAGGATTAACAGAAGGCACATGACTAGTGACTTGGATGGCATATCATGGTATGACCAAACAGAATGAAAATTTGAATCTTACCTGTTGCAGGCGGAGATTGGAGCACACAGGTGTCATGATTTCCCTTGTGTTTTGTGTGTTCTAGGACTCCCAAACCTGTGTCTTTATTACCTGCACCTATGTCTTGTTAGCCTCTTGTAGTCATGTGTATATATACACCTGTGTTTCAGTTGTCTTGTGTCAGTCACTGTCTTTCCAAAAAAAAGTTTGTTTCTGCAACTAGATCCTCTCCTCTTCCCTGTGCTACCATAACAACGGGGGCAGACAAGACAAGGAGCACAGAGGAGGTCACCAGGAGAAGGCACAGATACACAGAGATGACTAAGAGGTTGACCTGGAAATTACTTGGTGTGGATATCAAAGATAGAGTGTACTGTGTCCTTGACAGTAATCCTGTAATCCTGATGTACAGTGGCTCCAAAAGCAGAGCCATTAGGATGAATGCCCATGGTGGAACCAATGAGCAGAGGAGCCAGGATTACGACTGACTGAGGTGAAGCCGGGAGAGGTGGAGATCCAGGTGGAGCTGAGTAGAGGAAGACCCAGTGTGACACCGCTGGACTGGAGGGCCATGGCGGAACTGCAGGCTCGCAGGACTGAAGTGGAGACAGGGCTTACCATACCGTGGCATAGCCGGTGGATTGAGGACAATGATGGAGCCAGAAGGAAAGGAGGAGCCTGGTGGAGCCGGAGGGGTGGAGAGAAGAGGTGTAGCCGGAGGCACTGGAAGTCCATGGTGCAACCAGGGTGATGCCTGACCAATCCAACGCCAGAGGGACGAGGGAGCCCGGCAGAGCCTGAGGGATGACAGACCACGGTGTTGCCAAGGGAGTGTCGGGCCAAGGTGGAGCTGAAGAATTCACAGGCCAAGGTGGAGTCATCGGCTCAGAGGCCCAAGGTTGAGCCAGGGGATCTGCGCACCTAGGCAATGCTGGTATACGGAAAGCCCAAGGCAGAGCCGGGAAGCCAGGCCAGAGGAGGAGGACTTGATGGGACCAGCTAAGGCGGGGCCAAGGAGCATGAAGCCAGAGCAATGTTTCGCCCAGTGGGAGGCTGGGTGAAAAATGAGACTTGTGGCTGGGCGGAACCAGCGGCGACAAAGGAGTCTTGGGGCTGGGTGGAACTAGTGGAGTGGGTGAAGGAGCTTGGAAGCCAGGCAGGACCCGTGTAGTAGGCGAATGAGTCAGGAGATTGAACGAGACCAACAGTAGCAGGCCCTGGCTCCATGTGTGTGGTGGGCTCATGCTCAGTGTCCAATGGTATTCAGAATACAGGTTTAGGCTCCGGGACGGACAATGGCTCAAGTTTGAGCTCCAGGATCATTGGGGCCGGCTTACACACCTGGTCAGACTCGGCTGGCTTTGGCTCTGGGTCTGTGGTGGGCTCTGGCTTTGGGTCCTTGGCGGGCATAGGCACTGGCTGTGGGTCCATGGCTGGCGTGAAGAGGAGTGGGAAAGGAAAGGGGAGGAGTTCCCAGGCAGGTGGGGTCACTGGAACGAGGATCGATGATGACTGTATGGTGGTCGTGGGGTGAGGAGGTTGCGGCTAAATGTCTTCTTCTTCCATCTCGCTAACAGTGAATGGTGAGCCACTCGACCACAGAGCATAGTCCATATATTGTGCCAGTGTACAGGTGGTAGATCCCGCTAGCAACAGTAGGAATGTATAGCAGTCGCGTGCAGTGGTGTCTGAAATGAGGAATTCTATTTTGTATTTTTACATTAACAATGTTATTATTGCTCTATTTATCAAAACCAAGTATAAATCTCATCAAGTTAGTGTTTTTAATCATTTTTACATTTATTCAAAAATAATAACTAAAGGCAGTAATAATTTAAACAACATTTTTAATTTGTGAACTCTCAGCTGTTCTTTTTAATATTCAACTTATTTTTGGATCATCAGTCATCAAGCTTGGTAAACACTAGTCACAGACATGAAGATATATACCTTTAATTTCACCAAGCTGATTGCTCACTAACCCACAGTCATCATGTTTTCACATGTGTTAATTTCACCAAGCTGATTGCTCACTAACCCACAGTCATCATGTTTTCACATGTGTTAATTTCACCAAGCTGATTGCTCAGGTGTGCAGGTGTGCGTGATCAGGTTCCACAGAGGATCATGGGAAAATGTAGTCTGTTACAAAGAGCCCTACTGTATACCATTGATCATATGTGCAAATATTTGATATTGTGTGAAATGTTTGTTGTGAGTATATAGCATATTTATTTGGAGCACACCACCAAGTCATTTTCTTTGTAAATGTAACTTGACCAATAAAGGTGAATTCTAATCCTGATTTAAAAAACAAGCCTTTTAAAAACAAGCCTACTTAATTTATCATGCAACATCAAAAATCATCATCCCAACTCACAGTTTTTGAATACAACCATTTAAAATGAGTTCAAATAAATATTTGAATAGCCTACTACACCACAAATATGATTAATACATATGCATGTACACCAAAGTAAAGTATGGGCACACCTATTCATTCTTAAATACCCTTATAACAATAGACAAGACTTTATAGTGGAAGCTGTAAAGGATTCCCAGAAAAAAAATAGTCTTAGCTTCTGAATGGCTGAAGCAAGCCACTCACAGGCATGCAGGCCTGAGACGTTCCCTTTTGAGGGAACTCCACGCTGCGTCTGACATTGATGCGATTGGGAACAAAATACCCACTGCGCCATACTGATGAATGCCTGTCCTAGTGTGAAGTCATTAAGAGCACAGCTTGGGACTAAAACATTTGTGACCCTGGCATGTAGTCCAGATCCAGGCTGTAAAAAATAAAAGTGTGCGGGGAAGACCAGCCCGCAGCATCACATACTTCTTGAAGTGAGACTTCTGACAATAAAGCTTTAGAAGCCGCCATACTCCTGTTAGCGTGGGCTCTCACAAGCAGATGTGAAGGAAAATCGGGTGAACCCAAAGCAAACCAGCAGCTGGTCAGTCTTACGCCACTGGGTAGTCCGGTGGACGTAAGTCTCAAGAGCCCTTACTGGGCAAATCAGATTGAAGCTTTTTTGGTCCGCCGACACAAAAGGATGAAGATGACAGGCCTGCAAGAACATATAATGCAAGATCGTAGGTACGTTAGGCACATACCAAAAGTGTAAGATGGCTAGGGTAAGATGGCTTTGACCCTACCCTGGGCAAACTCTAGGCAGAAGGAGGCAACTGACAGAGCCTGAAAATCTCCTACCATAAACACCAAGAGAAACACCATTTTTAGTGTAAGGAATGTGTCTGATACTGAGTCCAGGGCCTCGAAGGGTGCCAGGGACAACCCTTCTAGCACCACGGCCAAATCCCAGGCCGGAAATCTCACGTGAACTGCAGGCCCCATATGAAACAGGTTATTAAATGGTGCTCCCTGATTCAGGTACCCAGGGATGTAATCTGCTCTCTGGGAGACCAGCTTGCCCTGAGACCGCAAAAAGTTCTGGTGCACCAGTCTGCAAAGAGGATGTGACCACAGACCCCCCTGATGATTTATGTATGAGACTACCGATGGGTTGTCTGGACGGACAAGAACATTATAGCCTGAGATCTGGGAGGAAGTACTTCAAAGGTAGAAATAGCCATCTTCTCCAGGCAGTTTATGTGCCAAGAGAGATGATGCCTCTCCTCAAACCTCGAGTTGAGCAGCCCTCGAGGAACTTGCCCCAGCAGTGGCAAGGACCAAATCTGGTAGAACCCCCCCGTAGAGAGGGCACACATCTCAGTGACGCAAATATACTGGGCAGAAACTAATGGCTTGCTCCAAGACCTCCACACCTCGTTGTGTAGATCTGAAAAGAAGAGCAGGCCTCAACAATTGAGCTTTGCTAGGCAAGTATACTCGTCCAGTTCACTCTTGCGACATGCTTCCTGCTTCTCGGCCCGCCAATCGATGTTTAATTTAGCTATGGCCTGAGTGATAACCTCCACCAGCTCCTCGTAAGCAGGGGAAAGAGGTGGCGAGTCCTCTAAATCCCTT